GGAATTAAGAGTCGAAGTTCGCGTTGGACGAAGGGAGGAGACATAGATAGAATGACACGGTGCGCCGCGCTGCGGCGGTGTGGTGGAGACACTACTGTCTCCCTCTCTATCTCCGTCTCGCTTCATCTAGGAGAACTTCAATTAAATTAATAAGTAGGCCTTAACCGATATTTTACAATAATTTTTCTATTTTAAAATTGTCTTTCTTCATGAATATATTATACATTATACGTATATATAAATATAGAATTCTTCACAGATCAAGATTGTAAGTAGGATAATAATTCTTGAAGATTTATGATAGAATTTCGTTAAATCCATAAGTATTCCGACGGATGTATGTTAACAAAATAATTCCGTTATAGTAATATAATCAATAATAATTATATTTTATAAAAATAATTATGCATATACGAAAACGAACATCCAGCATCTTTGAAACGTCAAGATTAGATCATAAGACGTTTAAACTTGGAACGAACGTATATAAAATACGGATATTTAGAATTATATAGGGAAATAAAGGGATGGCGAGGAATGTCGCTAATCCAATCATTATCGTACGGTTCCGCTTCGCGGAACGAGTTTCGCGCTTTGATATGTTGACTGAGCGTGTTGATTGAACGAAGAAAAAAATTCAAACTTGTTTGATCAAATGAGAACATTCTCACGTATTCCCACAAATTCACATAGATTCAATGCAATCGTATCTTCAGATCTGGCTTGCTCTTGGATCGAGCAATTAGCATTTCGTTGCGATACTGTAATACCGTGATTAATAACGTGATTAATCGAGGTAGTTAAATCTCATTTTAATATCAAACTATCAAACTTTAGACTTGTTAACTGATGATTATATTTCCCAGTCAGTCAGATTTCTCTAAATCTAAACGTTTAAGGTTTGATCGTGAATTATTATTATCATTAACAATTCGAAATATTACTTTTATTTTTTCCTACGTCCGTAACATTCTAATTCGATTTTTTTTATGAGATGCATCAACGATTCCAAACTTACATAATTGGTGTATGCGAGGTTGGAAAAAATTATAAAGAGAAATATACATATACATATATACACACACACCAATCTTCTACTCCTATCGTCGCACATCCCCAAATATTATTCTCCCCAATATTATTATTCATCAAGGAAAAAATAAATCTCAGTAAGAATCGATTATCGTTTAATTCAATTTTACTGGAACAAACAGCTCGCATATTTACCTCGGGCACAGTGTGGAGCACCGATTGCGAGGCAAAAGTATAAAGTGGCCGTAAAGTGGTCGTAAAACACGGCTCGGTGCCTCGAAGATGGAAGAGGATACTTAGCCAGTTGATGTTTCGGCTGATAAATTATTCAGAGGCGCGTGTTGCCAGACGTAGGAAAAGAGAGGAAGAAAGAAAGAAAGAATATCGGTGGGGGGGAAAGAAATGGGGTTGCAGGGAATATTTTCTGAATCCAGGAAAGAGTATACACGCGGAGGCGGAGAGGCGTGTTACAGCGCTCGTCTCGGAAAGCGCGCATCAACGGGCCGGTATTCAATCACCGTGACATTCAGCTCACGACTTTTGCCCCAGGAGGTGAGAGCAGCTTCCAGCAGAAGCATAAAGCGAACAGGATGCGCCGTCTGCAATCATGTTCGCCGTGCGCCTCGAACCTCGAGATGCTCAAAGCTTATTGCACAATTGTAAAATTCTGCTCGAACGGATGGCGGAAAAATCGGCGCGCATCCCGATCCCGTGCCCAGTGAAAGCTACACGGTGGATCGATTCGATGAATTTTCGTCGTGATCCTCTCCTCCACGTTGGACGATGGATTTGTGGAAGGACGCGTAATTC